AAATGCCCAGACAAAGCTCTGAATCTTTCCCATCAATGATACCAATCTTCTTGCCAGTACCATTTGCAACCTCTCCACTGTCTTTAATTCCTCTTGTACTCTCTCGATCTTTTCTTCAGGCACCTCGACCACCCCTTTCTCCATGTCCACTATCAAACCATAAATCTTCACTCTTTTTGTAGACTTCCAATTTCCCTTGTCCACTGCCTTTACCAAACTACATCCTTCCAAATCGACTTTCAACACCCCCTCTCTTATCTGTAAAAGCTCCTCTTAAACACACAACTGACCCAAACATTGTCGATATGACTTCCACAATAAATCCCTCATGACCTCCATGAACAAATCAATGCTGTCATTATCTTCAAAAAAATCCACAATGACTGGGACAGGCCAAACGGAAGGACTGTATAATGAAACCACTTTTCTCCCACTCGAAACCCCAAGAAACGCTGAGCCTAGTCATCTATCAATGCATGATAGTATTTATCCTTTAGATCGAAAACAATTACCCACCAATTTTCCCAATTGTTCTCAGAAACCCCCAACCCTTCAAAATGAAACATTTTCTCTAGTAGCACTTGATTTAACCACCTTAAATCTATCACCATACAGTACCTTTTCAGGCCCACTTTCGGTATTAAAAACACCGAACTCACTTCTAATAACACTTCCAGTCTCTCCTTTCCTATGTATACCAACTTTATCGCACCCATCCCCATCAGCCTTTCCAACTCCCGCTCTACCCACTTCAACTCGTTCCCTGCAAACTCGACCTGCTTCGACACCTTCTTTTGCACTAACAATCTCACATTTCTTAGGAACAAAGGTACTTTGTTTTTCGGCCATACTACAACCAGTGCTACAGGTTTTATAATTTCTTCCAATACTTCACCAACACTTCCAAGTAAATTCTTCCTACCACCTTCTTCTTCCCCTTTCTGAATATAGTTAACTCCTTTCACCTCCAGAGCCTGCCTTCTGAAAGGGCTGCTCGGACTTTTTCTGAGGACAGTCCCAGGCTATGTGGCCTTGTTCCTCACAAATAAAATACACAATCTCTGGGTTCCTATTTTGCCTAAAAATTGTTACCATATGACCTGACACTCTCCTGCCCTCCATATGGCTGCTGGTATAAACTTTGACTAGACCCTATGTTACCATACACTGGAGCTATATTCAGACAAAAGCCGACTAGACCAGCTAAACCGGAACCATATTTGGCGCTAACCCAGACTAAACCAGAAATTGTTGTTGCACTAGTTGCTGAAATACCGACCACTACACCACCTGATTCGTGGCCACATTTCCAAATCCTACCAGTACACTGGCTACTGCTGATTCCAAAGCCCCTGTACTATCTTCCACCTTCAGACATTTATTCCTTGCTAGCTGCCTGACACTAACTAACTTTTCCTGAAATACACATCCATAGGATCTTAATCCAACGAATCCTGAATTTCGCTACCACACCCCAACCCTCTCTCTTCGCCACCCTCAACATAAATGCTCTAGTCACAACAACCTCCTGTGCCTTCACTACCCCCTTCCAATTTCTACTCATTAATGCATTATCCAAACACCTCTCTACTCTACACCACTCATCATACTCAAATTGATCTCTTGGCTTATTCAACTTTTTCTTTGACCAGTATTTATTTTCATCCATGCCTTGTACCGGCTGTACTCACCTTCTAATATCACTAACAACTTTTCCATTGTTGCTTGAACCATTTTCTCTAGAGACCTTTCTAATGCTATGTACTGCAAATCTGGTACTAAAAACCCCTAGACCCCGCACTTGCTTCATTCGAATCCAATCTCCTGTCAAAACTTCCTCCACGCACTCCAAAATCTGACTCGGAATCAACTCTTTCATCCCGCATAAATCGACTACGATTAATTTCATTCTCTCTATCCTTCCCCTTCGCCTTACTAACATTTCTCCCAGCCAGCCTTTCTACTAACTCCTTTTTAGTGCCTACCTCCACTAACTCTTCGCTCTTACACAACATTTTCAACGTCTCCAACGAAAGACGATCCATGCTAATCTTTAGCGTTTGCTGCGAAACCTTCTCTGAATCATCTTCCGAATTACTGCCTAAAGGCAACGAAGTTGGTAACACCTCCTGTAAGTCACTATCGTTATCCGTTTGCGCCATTGATTCTAACTTGTTGACCACGTGGCTGTCGATGAAGCTAGACTCCTGTCGAGCTAGCAGCAAAGACAAAAGAGGGAGAACCAAACCCATCCCTTCTTCCTTATATAGCCCTTCTATGACCTCATACTACCACTCAAAAAAAACAAACGACATACATCACCAATACATATCACTCAATACATCATACCCATCATCGCTCAATACCTCATACTTACAAACGATCTACAAACCGTCACTCTGATGTCATGGGACCGGGTTGTGGTCTCGTGACAAATGGAGAGGTTGCAAATGGTACTGGCAAGAAGATTGGTATCATTGATGGGAAAGATTCAGAGCTTTGTCTGGGCATTT